CCCCCTCCTACTCTGAAGTCGTTACGACACCGGTGTCTTATGTCGTCTCGTCTCGTCTTTGTCTTTGCTTTTAAGGGGCCATTACGGAGGAGCGTTACGAAGATCACCCGAAGTCTTTGTGCTTCGCAACAGATGCATCTTCTTCTTCATACCTCTAAAAGCCTTCTCGATTTCGGAAGAAAGAGGTTTGAAAATTAGCGTACATTACTAATTTTAACTATTCACTCACTAAGCCGATTCTGCAGCAGTCGTTCTTTCCCGCGTAGACAAGCAAAACAATGGAACTAGCGTCGTAATTTTCTCGTCGTCGGTGAAATATCTTATTTTTTAATATGATCCGAGGGATTCCGGTACCGCGTCGAGACAGAGAGTCAGAGTAGCTATCTGAACGCCATCGCTGGACCTGCCAAAACATTCGGCTCTGAATAACCAGTTTTGTTGGGGAAAAATTACGCAAATCCCTAATAAGTTAAATGTATGGAGGGACGCAAAAGAAATAATAGACACACATTGATAACGGAGTTTCGGCCAATCTTGCTTATGTTCCGGACATGCTACGCGATACTTTTACTAAGAGAAAAATAAATAAAGTGTTTACATACACTCACAACCTATTATCTGAGATATCCGAAAAAATTAGGCTTAATTTTTCTTCCTTGATAATCTCTCTATTTTTCCTCCCTTAGTTTTTAGGAAACCTTTCCTAAAACTAGATTCCTCGTCTTTACATTTTTTAAGATTCTCTTCGCTTGTTGGTGTGTTTTGGTGAAGGTTGCCGCTAAATTCTCCTATTTATAGGAGAAAGAGGATGATGTACGAAATTAATGCGTCCACCCTCTAACTTTTCAACGGCGGGTGCTTCTTTTCCTGTTGCAAGCCACCAATTGTTTAAGAATTTCTTCTCTTTTTTTTTTTTCTTTTACAGCATGTGGGTCCCATTTACAGGTGCGCATACCACATCCTAGAACTTTGACCGAAATTGTTCGACCAAGGACATTAAAAGAAACTCTATTGTTATCTGGGTATTGGGGTGCAAGGTTTAACTTTAGCAAGTATTAGCAGAGAAATATCTTTATAGAATGGAAAAAATATGAATCTGGAAGTGATTTTTGTACAATAGCTGTATAATATTCTTCAATATAAACGAGGGGTTTGAGTTTTTGGATTAAGTAAGACGAAGATGCTTAAGAAGATCTTTTGGCAGCTTCAGAGACTCATTCTATTCTTCCTCATTAAACTCTAGCATAGAGCCGCCTAAACCCGTTTGTGTGTTGCTAAATTGGCCATATTCATTTCAACAGAATGCTGGTTAATATGCATTTGGGGCTAGCCATGGGAGAAACGGAAGGGCATTTTTGGGATTTCAATATATATGCTAATATGGGCCCACATTTGCAAAGTCAGCAATCTAGTAAACCAAATTAGCAATATGGTAATTAAGTTGATTCATTTTAAAAAGTTCGGTAACATCATTAAAAATATTTTTTTACGATCAACACACTCAGGATAGTGAATTAACGTTGTAGACATTAAATTATCGATTATCGTCGATATTTTTAAGATTTCATATGATTAGTTCCTATTATACGAAGGTTGTTCTATGCACAGTGATTTAACAAATCACATAATGGAGAATTTTTATAGTTTAAAGTTTCATATTTTAACTACCAAGGTTTTAATAGTTTTGCAAAATGATTTAAGAATTAGAGGGAAACACTTTTGCATCGGTTTTCATAGAATTTAATATTAAATATAACATGTTTATCATAATCATTTAATTCTGTTTTTTGGTAGATAACACTCTTCTAAAGTGAACAAACAATTTATATTTAATATTAATTTTATATTTAGTCAAAGACGGTTGCCATTTTTGAGTTGATAAGCTGGAACCAAGGGAATTGAGCCCATGAGTTGAATCCTTATTAGAATTCCAGTTTAAATGCACAGGTTCACTTGCTATTTTAGGTCCAAAATTATAAAAGACTCAATACATACTCACTCCTTAATAAAGCAGATGAATTTCATAGGGCCAAATCTAGTAGATTACCTCTATGGTGAAGAACTAAAAAAAAAAAAAAAAAAAAAAAGAGAAGAGAAAAAGATATCTAAACAAAACTGAGGATCTTCTAAGGAATTTTTAAATTGAGGGAAGGTTATTCTTTAATCATATTAACTCATTTAATTTCAAAGGGAAAAGTGAATAAAAAGTAACATAGGTGCTTTTTGGTTCACTCCATCTCCATCTGTAATTCCTTCCCACAGGACAAGAAAGATTATTGCCCCTTGCCTCTCTAAAATTGCTCTTAATTAGTGCACAATGCAACTTTAACTAGCAAACATTTCTTTTAGTAACTTTTATTACAAATCCATGCATTTTAAGTTATTTTTTAATTTCATACATCAAACATAAAATTCATTCAGATCAGCCACCAGTACAGATTTTCTTAAAAAAAAAAAAAAAAAAAAGAATTCTAACAATAAAACAGATTCAAAAGTATAAGCACACATATAGAATAAAGAAGTCCCCTACTACAAAGAAAGGCATCTCTAAGGTCACTTCTTGAAACATTTCCTGCCCCAATTGTCCACCAAACCTTTCAATCAATCCTTCACCAAAACTCAAATCAAAATTCAGCTTATGGAGCAAATCTTGTCTGCTGCTTTCTTCGCTTCAATAGTCACTGCAATTTGGTTTCTTGAATCAACTCTACTATTTCAAGGTATGTTCAAGAATTTTATTTCTTGAATTTAAAATGAGCACTCATTATTTTATTAGGAATTAAGTGATTGCATATAAAAAGATCTAATCTGGATAAACAAAATGTGCATCCTCAAACAAGGAAAAAAAATCTTAATAGTACCTATGACTTATCAAAATTTACCATTTTTTTTAGGAGTTGAAGCTACTCTTGGAGTCAACTATGGTACACTGGCAAACAACCTTCCTCCACCAGCAAAAGTTGCAGATTTTCTTGTACAATCCACCATTATCAACCGGGTTAAGCTTTTCGACACTAATACTGAAATCTTACAAGCCTTTGCACATACTGGGATTGCAGTTACAGTTACTGTCCCTGATGATCAAATTCCCCATCTTACGAAGCTAAATTTTTCTCAAGAATGGCTAAAATCCAATATCCAACCTTACATACCAGCTACTAATATTATCCGAATTTTAGTAGGCAATGAAGTCTTATCAACTGCTAATAAATTGCTCATAGCCAGCCTTGTTCCTGCTATGCAAACTCTGCATACAGCTTTAGTTTCAATGTCGTTAGACAGTAAAATTAAAATCTCTACTCCTCATTCTTTAGGCATTCTTTCAACTTCAAGCCCTCCGTCCACCGGAAAATTCCGTCAAGGTTATGATATTCATGTGCTTAGACCTTTACTTAATTTCTTGAGAGAAACAAATTCACCTTTTATGATAAACCCATATCCATTTTTCGGTTGCTCAGCCGAAACCCTTGATTATGCCTTGTTTAGACCTAATAGTGGTGTCGTTGATCAAAACACTAAACTCCTTTATACAAATATGTTAGATGGTCAACTTGATGCAGTCTATTCAGCTATGAAACTTCTTGGTTTCACTGACATTGATATAGTTATAGCTGAAACTGGCTGGCCGTCAAATGGAGATTCATCACAAGTTGGTGTAAATGCAGAAAGTGCAGCTCAATATAATGGCAATCTTATCCAACATGTAATGTCTGGTTCAGGCACTCCTCTTATGCCCAACCGTACGTTTGAGACTTACATTTTTGCTCTCTTTAATGAAAATCTCAAGCCAGGACCTGCATGCGAGCGAAATTTCGGACTGTTCGAGGCTGATATGACTCCAGTTTACAATATCGGAATCCTCCGGTCCACGGTAGCTGCCGCCGCCGAAAAACACCACGTTACATATTTGTTAATAGTTACAATCGGCCTTCTAATTGTTTTTAATCATGGTGAAACTATGCTTAATTTGTTTGTTAATATTGATATTAATATTTTAGAAGAATTATTAGACTTAATTATATAAACGGTAGTTGAAATTATCAATTAATTTCAATGTAGTCACATTGTATTTAGGTCGCATAATTTAATTTTATTTCAAAATCTGAAATAAGATTAAAATTATATGACCTTATTGTCAAAAATTAATTGATAAATTCAAATACCATTAGTATGATTAATCCAAAGCTAATGTTTTTATTATTGTTTGTGATAAAATGTTTATGTATGATTATTAACTGGTTGATTGGTTGATTGATCTTCTCAGGCTAGTTCATCGATTCCAAGGCACCGGAGTCCGGTGCCAGTGGCTGCACCTAGGAGTTCAGCGCCTGCCGGGCCACCAGGGAAACGGTGGTGCCTTCCTAAAACAGGAGCAGATGTGGAGGCTCTGCAGAGAAATATTGATTATGTGTGTGGTATGGGAGTGGACTGTGGACCTATTAAAAGCGGGGGTGAGTGCTTTATGCCTAACACAGTTAGGGCACATGCTGCTTTTGCTATGAATGCTTACTATCAAGCCATGGGAAAGAATGATTATGATTGTGATTTTGAACAAACTGGGGCTATTAGCAGCTTGGATCCAAGTAAGTTTTTGTATGAAACCTTTATTCGTTAATTTAGGGTTACTGATTTTGTAAATCATAGTTAGAACTGATTGTATATGAATTAAAAATTGATTGAGTTGAAATCAAAATTTGGGCTTTGTATTTCTATTACATTCCAGTTTGAGTTTTGAGTTGAGAACTGCGTCTACTAGATCTTAGTTACATCACTGCCCCTAAGAGAAAATGATTGGAAATTCAATTTTATTTCCCCTTTAGGAAATTTCTAATTTAGCTTAATGGCACGTGAGAGTAAAAATAGTAGTTATATTTTTTAATCATAATTCTAGTGACAATGAATTTTTAGGGCACAAATTTTTTATTAAATTATTTTTTGGAAATGTTTAGGCTCATTATTACCTAGCTATAATCTTAGTTAATTTAACTAATCAATCAATAGCCAATCAAATGTGGTATGGTTCGTTTTCATATATCTTGTAGAAGATAAAGGGACTGGAAAGTCTCAAGTTGTGATCTAGTTGATCTTTCTACATCTTATAGAGAATAAAGAGAGCAAAAACTCTCGAATTCGAATTCCCTCCACTTAAAAAAAAATTACTCTTATTGTGTAGTTCACAATGTTATTTCAGTTCATCAGACCTCTTTTATACATGTATATATAAAAATTAAAAAAAAAAACTAATCCATCAATACATATCAGTTGCCTTCTAAACTTTACGTTAGCATAAATTCACACTTAAGATTCAAGATTTATGAGATCATTAATTTATTTAAACTCTAATTGCTTTGACTACAAAACACCAACGGTATAGTTTGTATTTTAAGCATTTAGGTTTTAACATAATTCTCCCATTAATTTCCTTATATTATTTTGTATATATTATTAGTGCATTCATGTGTTCTTTCAAAGGCTGATTGCTGAAAATTTTTATTTTTTAATTTTTTATTCCAGGTTATGGAAATTGCAAGTACTAATGCTGGTGCAATGGAGTCCCAGGGAGAAGAATTTTGGCAGCAAAAGCTTTTCTTCTTTCCCTCCCAACTCTTCTTTTAGGGGATAAATAGAATAAGGACTAATTATGAAAATTTACAATGCGTTTATATTTGCTATCATAGCCAATACCCAAATGCTTATAGAAAATATAGATAGATAAAAGAAAAGTTAGATTCATTAGAATGTTTATCAATGTTATTGCAATATAAGATATAAAAATTCTTTTTTTGTTTTACTTTCTTGTAGTTTAATATTTGTATGTTGGAAATTCTTATAAGTGAAAGTAAATATTAAAAATTTAAATTTTACATTAAATATGATATGCTATAAAATCAAATACTCGACGACTAAAATATTAGAAACTGTCTCTTATTCATTTTTTGATAGTTACCAAAAAAAAATGTGATCCCTTACCTTGCATATTTGGTAACACCCATACAAAACAAATAGTTCAAGGAGGAATCAAAAAGAGAGAAGGAAAATTTCAAAAAAAAAAAAAAAAAATTACCTTGCATATTTGGTAACACCCATACAAAACAAATAGTGTTTCAAAGGAGGAATCAAAAAGAGAGAAGGAAAATTTCAAACAAAAAAAAAATTTAAAAAAAAAAAAAAAAAAAGTAGGAACTAAATTGACATAGACCTTCCAGATAATAAATAATACTTGAAGGTTAGTGATTCCCTTACCTATTTTCTAAGAAATGCATCTTCTTTCTTAGCTTTTTCCCTCAAACAAGCAATTCTTCTTCAAATTTGTTTGCAACGATAGAAATTCTCTTTGGATTTCAAATATAGACTTTTTTCTGAAAGGGATTTCAAAAATAAAGTCTCTAATTGCTTAGTTCTATTTTTTTTTTTTTTTTTTTCCTTTCTATTAACGTTAAGCTCTTTTTTTTATTTTACAGTGATATGTAACTCATATTATCTCTTTTATCTCTGATTTTCTTCTAAATAAGAAAGAATAAAATATTTAATGAACCTCCCTTAATTTTCCTTTCTTTTATTTTAATGAATTCCCCATTCCCTTTCACTTGCCCTATTCAATTACTCAGCATAAATTCGACTGAGCGTTTTGATATACAATATTAACTATGGATCCTCGATCTACATAAAAAGACAGTTCTAATTCTTTTTTTTTTTTTTTTTGGGATAGGGAAGTATTGACACCAGTCTTAAAATTAAGCCCAAGTAAACGGCCCACACAGCAAGACCCAAGAAGAAAATGACTAACAATATGTTAACAAGGCCCCTTGGGCCTAAAGACCCACAAATGTAAATATTGTACAAATTGCAGATACTATAGGAATTATAAAAATTGTATACATAACAAAAGACTAGATCTTCTAGAATATTCATTTGGGGTACACTCTTCTTACTCCTATAAGTAGGAGGTGGCACTATTATAAACGATACGAAATTCAAAACAACAATTCAAATGTACTAGCATTTACAATCTCTTTCTCCCATTCTCTCTCTCTCTCTCTCTCCCTCTCTCTCTCTCTCTCTCTCCCTCCTCTTTCTTTTTCTCTCTTCTAGCTTTGTTCCTCTCTTTCTCTCTCTCTCTCTCTCTCTCTCTCTCTCTCTCTCTCTTCCCATTTCTATCCATAGTAATAGGCTCACAACTTGTTAATCCAACCCAGGGATGGTCATTTTTGGTTTTTTAATTGGAATTGTCGGTTCGGAATTGATGGGAACCGAAATCACGAGGAATTGAAACTGGTTCAAATTAGAATCGGAACTGAGAGTCTACATTTTGGTTCTAGTTTTAACTTTTTAGGAACCGTAAATCGGTGGTTTTAAGAACCAGGCGGAACCGACAGTTTTTTCAACTGGTTAGAATCAATAGTTCCACCCAGTTTCAATAACTTTTTTTTCAAATATTTTTTGTGAAATTTCCAAATTAACCCTCCTAACAACTATATAACGGTTAGTTTTAAGGGTATTTATAAAAAATTAATTTTTTGGATTTACTATAAATATCTTTTTCATTTAAAAAAAAATTAAGTTCAAGCCTTTTCTAAAAAAAAATTAATTTCAAGCTTTTTTTCTAAAAAAAAAAGTTCAAGCCTTTTCTTTAATAAATAAATTAAGTTAAGCCTTTTTTTATTTTTATTTCAAGTTTTCTCTAAAAATTATTTTATAAATATTTCAATTTTAAATTTTTAACAAAAAAATATTTCCTAACTTTTGATTTTATAACGCCGAAAAACCGGCCGAACCATTGATTTGGAACCGTTAAGGAACTGGAATCGGAACTGTAATCATTCAATTTCAAACTAACTGGAACTGTCAATTTTCGGTTCAATTCTGATTTTAGATTTTTTGGAATCGGATTTGTCGATTCCGGAACTGTGGCCACCTCGATTCCAACCAACATGCAACGCGGTTTGAGCCAACTAATAGATATAAAATACGCATAAACTATCGTGTAGTGTAACAAAAAAAGTATAACCTCATTAAAGTTAACCGAGTTATTTTGTTCCTTATAACCTCATGTATGGTAGAAATGTTAATAGTCTTCTAAATCAATTGAAAATATTAAATTAATAAAAATAAAATTAAACTAATATGCAATTAAATATGCGTTTATTATGAAAAATGATAGTACATAACCTATCTATCTATATTTATATATCCATCTACATCTATATATGAAAGCCGAAATAAAGAGAAAGTTTCAAGACATTCTTTTTAATCACAATTTCATTTTTCTTTCTTTAGAAAATTTTGAATTTTTTTTTAATTTTTTTGTGTTTTAATTGGCCTATATAATTATTTTTTTAATTTAATATTTAATATATAGTAACGATAATTGATAACATTTAAAATCTAATCTAATTCAATTAAAACGTTATCTTTTAAAAAGTTGAACCTAAAATCTAAGTATATATAGTTGATTTGAACGATATTATTGTATATTTCTAGAGGTTAATTTTCTTTAGCTTTTATATTCAAATCTTGTTTTTGTGTTTCTTATTTGTGTAATTGATTATCCTTTCCACAAATAAAAGTTTTTAATTGTCATTTTCTTGGATGATCTTTCATTTATTTAGTTTTGAATATAGCAACTTGTATGTTTGTCCGTGCTCTCAAATTCTTCTTTTCAGATGTAACTTTGAATAACAAAGTCTGTTAGCCGCCTTTGTTGAAAATAAAAAAAAAAAAAAAAAAAGGTTTTTGTTGAAAATAAAAAAAAAAAAAAAAAAAAAAAAAGGTTTTGCTCAATTCCACGTCGAGAGATGAGCAAAAGATGGTGGTAGGTTTGGTTATAAAAAGAAGCTAATGTTTAGCTTTCTAAAGACACCAAAATCACTTGAATATGTTTTATATTAGGGATTTAGAGCAAATCTCTTGGAGTCCCTTAGAGTATAAAATATTTGGAGTGTTTTGAGAGTGTCAGGTAGAAAAATATTTTATAACTGTGGTTGTAACAATTTGCCGCATAGTGAATATTTTTTTTGATTGTCGTTTGGCAACGGCCGCGGTTTTCCTCCACTTGGAGAGTTTTCCACATTAAATTATCATATTCTTTATTCTCTTTAATTTCTCAATCATTATTTTTTTTTTTCATTTGTTCCTGCTTAAAGCCGATCCGAAAGGCGGGAAAATAGCGATTTTCCCAACAGGTTTATTCTCTTTAATTTCTCAATCATTATTTTTTTTTTTCATTTGTTCCTGCTTAAAGCCGATCCGAAAGGCGGGAAAATAGCGATTTTCCCAACAAAGTCAGCTTCATGCTTTAGTCGGTCGTGGATCTGCAGCTAAGTTACCTGGCTTCCAACCTGAGAGAAATAGATTATGGCTTCTCGCTATCCTCCAGAAGCTTCGAAGTTGGCGCATCATTACCCTCAGTCAACAGATCTGAATGCTAAAGGAAGAAGTCGAGAATTCCGACCATAATTTGAATGATGGATGAGTGTTTTTCTTATTGCTATTAGTTTTATACATTCAAATTTATATTTGCTTAATAGCCTCGACAATAGCAATAATCAATAATCTTCCCTTTCTTTATTTTTTGTTCTCTTTTTATATAAATATAATTTTATTTAAATAAATAATTTATCATGACTAAGTGATTGAAATAATAAAAATTTGAAAGTTTTTATTGTAACTTTAGATTTGAAAGTTAAGATCATATGATCCAAACAATTCCTATCAATTTATTTAGCTAATTTTTTTTATCAATATATATATTATATTTTATATTTTATATTAATTTATTAATTTATTTTTCAAGGAACTGCAGGATAAATATCAACATAAAAGCCATAACATAAAAATTCCTCAAAGGATTAATATTCAATGGCTGAAAAATATTTCACTCTCTTCATAGAGGGAATTATATCATTAAAAGTGGTGTTCTTTGAGCTTTTCAAAAGTTAGAGCGAAACGCCGTGAAAAAAGATTCACATATAGATCAGCATATGACAATTCTTTTTTTTTATTGAATGCAATGCATTAATAGACTCTTCTAGTTAAATTGTATTATTTTTCATTACATAAAAAAATTTATTTTTATATTTAGTTATAATTTATAATAAATTATATACTTATTAATTAATTTTTATTTCTTATTAAATATATTTATAACCATTTACAATTAAAAATTTTAACAACATAACTTAATTCATAGTTTTTTATAGAAAACTTAAATTTAAATTTATGCTCTATTTCTAATAAAATTTAAATGCATGATCTATCTAATTGAATTTAAATGCATGATCTATCTGATGATAAAATAAAAAATGAGTGTAAAAAAATCTATCCAATCTATTTTTATTATGAATTTCAATATAAAATTGCCAATAATTTGTTTTTTCAAAATAATAATATAGCATAATAATTATTTAAATAATATCATATGAAAGCTAAGAGAAAGTTCAATACGTACTACCTCTCATCTTTCTATTTATTTATTTATTTATTTTTTTTTTTTTTGAAGTTTAGTAGGTATGTATAGATTATTACCAATTTGAAAATTTGAAAATTCTTTTATGTTATTTTAGCTATTATTTTCAATATAATTACATTTAGATAATTACAACTTTAAAAAATTTAAAATTTTTTTCTTATATATATATAAATATATCTACTCTATATATTTATCTATATGTCTATTTTTTTTAAATTGGTACCGTGAAAACCCAAATCTAGATTGTATTTTGTAATTTAAAGAATTTAAAAAAAGGATAGTTGCAATTGATTATTCATTTCATAACAACATATGTCAGCAAA